GTACCCTCCAGTACCCTCCAGTACCCTCCAGTACCCTCCAGTACCCGCCAGTACCCTCCAGTACCCGTACCCTCCAGTACCCTCCAGTACCCGCCAGTACCCTCCAGTACCCGCCAGTACCCGCCAGTACCCTTCAGTACCCTCCAGTACCCGCCAGTACCCGCCAGTACCCTCCAGTACCCGCCAGTACCCTCCAGTACCCGCCAGTACCCTCCAGTACCCTCCAGTACCCTCCAGTACCCGCCAGTACCCTCCAGTACCCGCCAGTACCCTCCAGTACCCTCCAGTACCCGCCAGTACCCTCCAGTACCCGCCAGTACCCGCCAGTACCCTCCAGTACCCTCCAGTACCCTCCAGTACCCGCCAGTACCCGCCAGTACCCTCCAGTACCCGCCAGTACCCGCCAGTACCCGCCAGTACCCGCCAGTACCCTCCAGTACCCTCCAGTACCCGCCAGTACCCGCCAGTACCCGCCAGTACCCGCCAGTACCCGCCAGTACCCTCCAGTACCCTCCAGTACCCTCCAGTACCCTCCAGTACCCGCCAGTACCCTCCAGTACCCTCCAGTACCCGCCAGTACCCTCCAGTACCCGCCAGTACCCTCCAGTACCCGCCAGTACCCTCCAGTACCCTCCAGTACCCTCCAGTACCCTCCAGTACCCTCCAGTACCCTCCAGTACCCTCCAGTACCCTCCAGTACCCCCCAGTACCCTCCAGTACCCTCCAGTACCCCCCAGTACCCTCCAGTACCCCCCAGTACCCTCCAGTACCCCTCCAGTACCCTCCAGTACCCTCCACCCTCCTGTACCCTCCAGTACCCGCCACTCCAGTACCCTCCAGTACCCTCCAGTACCCTCCAGTACCCTCCAGTACCCTCCAGTACCCTCCAGTACCCTCCAGTACCCGCCAGTACCCGCCAGTACCCTCCACTACCCGCCAGTACCCTCCAGTACCCGCCACTACCCTCCAGTACCCTCCAGTACCCGCCAGTACCCGCCAGTACCCGCCAGTACCCGCCAGTACCCGCCAGTACCCTCCAGTACCCTCCAGTACCCGCCAGTACCCGCCAGTACCCGCCAGTACCCGCCAGTACCCGACCCCTGGCGGCGGAGGCGTGTTAGGTTAACAACCTGCCTGTTTTAGGTCATGCTCGGCTGGGAGTGACCTCATTGGTGGACCGGACCGGGTCAGTAGGGGGGGAGGGGGAGGGGGAGGCAGAGAGAGAGAGAGAGAGAGAGAGAGAGAGAGAGAGACAGAGAGAGAGAGAGAGAGAGAGAGAAAGAAAGAGAGAAAGAGAGAAAGAGAGAAAGAGAGAGAGAGAGAGAGAGAGAGAGAGAGAGAGAGAGAGAGAGAGAGAGAGAGAGAAAAGGTCAACCCATATAACAAGTGACGCTAAGGCCCCCCCAAAAAAAGGTTCACCCAGATGTGTCGTGTAACATGTGACACACACACACACATGTTTCCACTAACATGTGTCCATGTATCTGCCTGGGAAGACGTTGCTAGGGTCAGCAAAACCCGTCCATCAGGGACACGGCGCCAATCACCTCGTTAAATGACCGCTGGAGAGACCATTTGACAACTTCCTTACAAACTTCCTCGTGTTGACAACAACACGAGATATATATTCCGGCTAGAACCATTGTTTACAGTGAATCCCAACCAGGGGTTCCACGGAACGGAAGGTGTTCCCCGGAACGGAGGGGGTGTTCCCCGGAACGAAGGGGGTGTTCCCCGGAACGAAGGGGGTGTTCCCCGGAACGGAGGGGGTGTTCCCCGGAACGAAGGGGGTGTTCCCCGGAACGGAGGGGGTGTTCCCCGGAACGGAGGGGGTGTTCCCCGAAACGGAGGGGTGTGTTCCCCGGAACGGAGGGGGTGTGTTCCCTGGAACGGAGGGGGGTGTTCCCCGGAACGGAGGGGGGTGTTCCCCGGAACGGAGGGGTGTGTTCCCCGGAACGGAGGGGGGTGTTCCCCGGAACGGAGGGGTGTGTTCCCCGGAACAGAGAGGTGTTCCACGGAACGGAGGGGGTGTTCCCCGGAACAGAAGGGTGTTCCCCGGAACGGAAGGGTGTTCCCCGGAACGGAAGGGTGTTCCCCGGAACGGAAGGGTGTTCCCCGGAACGGAAGGGTGTTCCCCGGAACGGAGGGGGTGTTCCCCGGAACGGAAGGGTGTTCCCCGGAACGGAAGGGTGTTCCCCGGAACGGAAGGGTGTTCCCCGGAACGGAGGGGGTGTTCCCCGGAACGGAAGGGTGTTCCCCGGAACGGAGGGGGTGTTCCCCGGAACGGAGGGGGTGTTCCCCGGAACGGAGGGGGTGTTCCCCGAAACGAGGGGGTGTTCCCCGGAACGGAGGGGGTGTTCCCCGGAACGGAGGGGGTGTTCCCCGGAACGGAGGGGGTGTTCCCCGGAACGGAGGGGGTGTTCCCCGGAACGGAGGGGGTGTTCCCCGGAACGGAGGGGGTGTTCCCCGGAACGGAGGGGGTGTTCCCCGGATCGGAGGGGGTGTTCCCCGGAACGGAGGGGGTGTTCCCCGGAACATAGGGGGTGTTCTCCGGAACGAAGGGGTGTTCCCCGGAACAGAGAGGTGTTCCCCGGAACAGAGGGGTGTTCCCCGGAACGGAAAGGGTTCCACGAGAATTTACAAAAGCTTTCGAGGAAAGTTCAACTCGCCATCTTTTATGCAAATAAGTAAACAACAGCAATAAATGTCAATAAATTGTGTTAATGGTTTCAACGTGACCATTAACGAGACACGGAAGCGTTTTGGCAGTGTCGCTGGGCTCAGTGTTCCACGTGATGGGCTCAGTGTTCCACGCGATGGGCTCAGTGTTCCACGTGATGGGCTCAGTGTTCCACGTGATGGGCTCAGTGTTCCACGTGATGGGCTCAGTGTTCCACGCGATGGGCTCAGTGTTTCACGATGGGCTCAGTGTTCCACGTGACTGGGTATATCCCAATCATAGACGGGTTATACTCCGGTATACCCCAGGAGATGGTATATGATCTGGCGGACTGTTGCATATCAATGGATTCTGGTTTCCGCGAGGCTTACGAACTCGGCGGTTTGACAGGTGATATGTAAATACAGAGGTGGGGGGAGGGGGTGATGGGGTGGGGGTGGGGGGGTGTTGTGGTGTGTGTGTGGGGTGTGGTGGGGGGAGAGGGGGAGGGGGCGTCGAGGTGTGTTAAGGGGACGATATTCGGGCCACACGCACGCAGACACCACACGCACGCAGACACACACACACACACACACACACACACACACACACACACACACACACACACACACACACACACACACACACACACACACACACACACACACACACACACACCATAGAGGGTTGAGCGATGAGAAAAGAGTGGTGTTGAGGTCAATATAACACAAGAACAATATTGATCAGGGCGTCCCACTCTCTCGTGCTATGATTATTTGAAGCACTTTCTTCCTTCCCCTTTCATCTATGCCTCTTCCTCTTCTCCCTCTCCCTCTTCTTCCTCCCCCTCTTCCTCCTCTTCCATGCTTCTTTGTGGACTGTTTGCGTGTTTTCACCTGGATGTACTTACCTAGATGTGCTTGCATGTGTTACATGTTCACCCTGTTGCATGAAGAGCTTATACCTCGATTCTGCAGACACAAGTTGTAGATACACACCGTCAAACATCAGACCTTCAGGAGCCGCAACATCGTAAAGCCTGAAGTGGTGTTAATTAACACATCTCAGAGGTGTTAATTAACACATCTCAGAGGTGTTAATTACACATTCCGCCAACATCATTAGCAGCGTCGTCTATTAAGAACGTCAGTCGTCGTTCTGATATTATCATGATTGCTGAGGCAGTGTACCTGGGTGTACCTGCCTGGTCCACCACCTACAACACAGTGTACCTGGGTGTACCTACCTGGTCCACCACCTACAACACAGTGTACCTGGGTGTACCTGCCTGGTCCACCACTCACAACAGTGTACCTGGGTGTACCTACCTGGTCCACCACCTACAACACAGTGTACCTGGGTGTACCTGCCTGGTCCACCACTCACAACAGTGTACCTGGGTGTACCTGCCTGGTCCACCACCTACAACACAGTGTACCTGGGTGTACCTGCCTGGTCCACCACCTACAACACAGTGTACCTGGGTGTACCTGCCTGGTCCACCACTCACAACACAGTGTACCTGGGTGTACCTGCCTGGTCCACCACCTACAACACAGTGTACCTGGGTGTACCTGCCTGGTCCACCACCTACAACACAGTGTACCTGGGTGTACCTGCCTCGGCCACCACCTACAACACAGATTTCATATTTTCGTGGGTTTTGAAGCCTATATTCCACACCAGAATTCTCCACTCCCCAAAGCCAATCTCAAACACTACATAACCTCTAAGGGGCTCAAATAAAACCCACAAGTCGCATTCAACTTTACAAGAAATGTTGTATTTTATATATTTACATTTTAAAGGATTTGTTTTTACCGTTTAATTGCTCTGGATTGAACACTTACATACGACGCCAGAGAAACAAATTATTAGACTGATTTACAAGAATGTAAGAATTCTTGTTAATGTAAATGAAAGAAAGTTGTTAAACATTTTGAATATCCGATTTATTCGTCAACTTAGTGAGACTTTGGTTATTCGACCGGTTGACGAGAGGTATTTAGTGGTCGTTTGGTTGACTGATTAATTAAGTCCATGATTGAATAATCGGTTGAGTAATTGGAGCGCCTAATTGATTAATTGTCGGGTTGATTTATTAGCCTGGTGAGTGATGGAGGAATGAGTTGAATATCAAAGTATTTTATGCCGGGGAATGCACAAATGATTTCAAATAATTTCCGTTGTCAGGGACAGGAAGCCTGCATATTTATATACTTTAGGCTTGTATCGAGGTCCCATTTCTCTCTCTCTCTCTCTCTCTCTCTCTCTCTCTCACGCACCAGATGTACTGGTGAGAAGGACCCGGAGTGGGGGGTAGGGGGATGGAAGGGGGAGTTTACCATCCTACAAAAACACACAAAAAAACGCATTTATCGTGAGAAGGAATGTTAATAAAATGGTATTTTGTCTTAGCCACAGTTACCAGGATGGAGACGTGAGGGCGTGGTGCTGGCATGGTTACCAGGATGGAGACGTGAGGGCGTGGTGCTGGCATGGTTACCAGGATGGAGACGTGAGGGCGTGGTGCTGGCATGGTTACCAGGATGGAAACGTGAGGGCGTGGTGCTGGCATGGTTACCAGGATGGAGACGTGAGGGCGTGGTGCTGGCATGGTTACCAGGATGGAGACGTGAGGGCGTGGTGCTGGCATGGTTACCAGGATGGAGACGTGAGGGCGTGGTGCTGGCATGGTTACCAGGATGGAGACGTGAGGGCGTGGTGCTGGCATGGTTACCAGGATGGAGACGTGAGGGCGTGGTGCTGGCATGGTTACCAGGATGGAGACGTGAGGGCGTGGTGCTGGCATGGTTACCAGGATGGAGACGTGAGGGCGTGGTGCTGGCATGGTTACCAGGATGGAGACGTGAGGGCGTGGTGCTGGCATGGTTACCAGGATGGAGACGTGAGGGCGTGGTGCTGGCATGGTTACCAGGATGGAGACGTGAGGGCGTGGTGCTGGCATGGTTACCAGGATGGAGACGTGAGGGCGTGGTGCTGGCATGGTTACCAGGATGGAGACGTGAGGGCGTGGTGCTGGCATGGTTACCAGGATGGAGACGTGAGGGCGTGGTGCTGGCATGGTTACCAGGATGGAGACGTGAGGGCGTGGTGCTGGCATGGTTACCAGGATGGAGACGTGAGGGCGTGGTGCTGGCATGGTGACCAGGATGGAGACGTGAGGGCGTGGTGCTGGCATGGTGACCAGGATGGAGACGTGAGGGCGTGGTGCTGGCATGGTTACCAGGATGGAGACGTGAGGGCGTGGTGCTGGCATGGTGACCAGGATGGAGACGTGAGGGCGTGGTGCTGGCATGGTGACCAGGATGGAGACGTGAGGGCGTGGTGCTGGCATGGTGACCAGGATGGAGACGTGAGGGCGTGGTGCTGGCATGGTTACCAGGATGGAGACGTGAGGGCGTGGTGCTGGCATGGTTACCAGGATGGAGACGTGAGGGCGTGGTGCTGGCATGGTTACCAGGATGGAGACGTGAGGGCGTGGTGCTGGCATGGTTACCAGGATGGAGACGTGAGGGCGTGGTGCTGGCATGGTTACCAGGATGGAGACGTGAGGGCGTGGTGCTGGCATGGTTACCAGGATGGAGACGTGAGGGCGTGGTGCTGGCATGGTGATTTTTTGTTGGCCTTTGGTTGCTTTTTTTGTTTTGTTTTTGCAGTGATATTCCTGCGCGGGCCGTAAGCCTCTGGCTGGCCCACTAAGCGTTACTTGTTTCTTGTTTTACTTAGGCAGAGTATGTGTGGGTTAGGTCACCTCCAAAGGATACCTGATCAACCAGGCTGTGACTCGTACGTCAGGCTGCGAGCAGCCGCGTCCAACAGCCTGGTTGATCAGTCCGGCAACCAGGAGGCCTGGTCGACGACCGGGCCGCGGGGACGCTAAGCTCCGGAAGCACCTCAAGGTAACCTCAAGGTGTGTGTATACCAAGGTTGTTAAAAGAAGTGGGGGAGGGCTTGGATGAGATGTAATGAGGGGGGGAGGGGAAAGTAAGGGGGGGAGGGGAAAGTAAGGGGGCTGAGGGGAAAGTAAAGGGAGCTGAGGGGAGGTTGTGGTGTTCCGGACAAGCAGAGGGCTAGGAAGCCACCTCCCAGACCTGTCTCAACCACTCGTTCCCCTGCTGGTAACATTACCATGAAAACAACGACATTTCAACACAACACCGCGATAGGCCTTCAAACTCATGCGAGGTGTTTGCCTACTGTATATACCAGCCCTTAAATGAAATTTTGCCCCGAGGGGCGAGTTTATTGGGCAGCGCCACTCATCTTGTGAGTGGACACACCGCTATAGTGACAATATTGGGCAGCGCCACTCATCCTGTGAGTGGACACACCGCCATAGCAGCATGTACAACACTCCCCAATAGGAAGAAAACCCGCTGGGTTGTTCATCCTGTCACTTGTACCCAGACACAGCTGGGACTTGCTTAACTGTCTCCAGTGAACAGCTCCTCAAACAAGAAGATTAACATCTGTCAACCCTTAAAAGCTTACGTTATCTTGCGGGTGCAAAATGGGGAATATCTTTTAAGAACAGTATCAATATTTGCCAGATAGTGTTTTCCTAACTCAAACCAATGTGGGGTTTATTATTCTACACATACTTTTAATATCTCTCAGGTGTTCACATTCACGTAGATAGTGGTCAAGGCGGTGTCCGTCACTCTCACCACAGATTCTGCAACTCCTCTGCTCAACTGTTGTTTCCATTCCGAATCTCCATGGATATTTGTATCTAAGACGGATTCTCGCTATTACTGATTCTCTCCCTCGTCCTCCTCCTCTTCGGCCATAACGATTGGGATTGCCAGCTGCAACCATGTTGTACCATCGTATAGATTCACTGGTTTGTGCTTCTATCCTCCTTTCCTCAGTTACCTTGTCACGGTGATGTTGCCTGACAATACCTCTAATTTGTAGTTGAGTCTTGGGTATGAAGTGTTCAATATGGTCTCCTTCAGCGCCTTCAGCAGCCAGCACATCTGCTCGTTCATTCCCACATATTCCAACATGGGAGGGGATCCACAGAAACTTGATGACTCTTCCCTGATTGGTTAGTACTCTCACAGCTCTTATTTTCAGCGACTGTCGCAAGGTTTTCTGCCCGATCTTTACTTAGGCTTTGTAGCGCTGCGTTTGAATCAGTGCAGATCACTGCACCATTAGTGTTTTGTTCAAGGAATCTTAACGCCATAACAATGGCATTTAACGCCGCTTGCGTTGAAGAGGCATAGTTCTCAATATGTGTTTATATTACATTTCCACGTTGAAAGGCATTATGCCTAATTACCGTGTATGCTGCACCAGCCCTGCAAGGTTTGTGTAGGTTTGATCTAGTTCATCTCCGGCTTCTTTATAAATTTCCTCGAGATACTTGTGCCTCATTTCTTGTGGTAACATGTTGGACTTTTTCGTTGTCATTTCATTGATGATAATCCTACAAGAGTCATCCTCCCAGAGAGGTAACCTCTCTACAGGCAGGAGCTCACGGGCTTGCTCAAGCAGGTGAAGCTCTTCGAGGTAGCAGACTGATCTGTGATGCCATTTTTTGCTTCTCCTGTTTCCCCCTGAAAGTAGCACAGAGCTCAGTTTTTTCTTAGCAATATCATTGTAATTGGGATCTCTGGCTACCCTAATTGCAAGCTTAGCATTCAGCTCCTTAATTCAGCTTTTAACAGGTTTTGGCAGTTTAGACGTCCACTGTAAGGGGGTTATTGTAATGACGTCCACTGTAAGGGGGTTATTGTTGGGACGTCCACTGTAAGGGGGGTTATTGTAATGACGTCCACTGTAAGGGGGTTATTGTAATGACGTCCACTGTAAGGGGGTTATTGTAATGACGTCCACTGTAAGGGGGGTTATTGTAATGACGTCCACTGTAAGGGGGTTATTGTAATGACGTCCACTGTAAGGGGGTTATTGTAATGACGTCCACTGTAAGGGGGTTATTGTTATGACGTCCATTATAAGGATGATTCCAGCCCGAGGCGAAAACAAATGGGCAGTTTCTTTCACCTGGTGAACCTGTTCACCTAGCCGTGAATAGGTATCTGGGAGTTAGACAGCTGTTACGAGCTGCTTCCTGTGGATGTGTGTGCGTGTTAGAAAGAAAAATATTTAGTAGATATAATATAGGAAAAACAATTATATCAGAAAGGCGGGGTCCAAAAGCTGATAGCTCGATTCGGCAGGCATAAGTAGTAAATACACACACACACACACACACACACACACACACACACACACACACACACACACACACACACACACACACACACACACACACACACACACAGAACAAGGATGCACGGGGCGATAGCTTGAGACTGGGATGAGTCACAGAGATATTAGAAAGTTTCCATTTACCTTACGGGTTGTGGGCCAACAGAATGCACCCTAGAAGGAGGCTGTGGAAGCAGAGACTCTATTCATAATGTTAAATGTAGCTATGATAGGGAAATAGGACAGAGAGTAATTCCTCTCTGAAGGAAATAACACACCTGAAGGTACACACCTGAAGGAAATAACAATGAGACTACTTTCCTGTTGCAAAGACGTAAGTTGCAACAATTAAGAGACAGAGACAGAGAAGGACGGGGAGCTAGCCAGGTGAGGAGAGAGAGACAGACTAGGGGTGAGTGGAAGAGACATGCAGATTACACCTTGGACAGGATGCTGGCTATCTCCTCCTCCTCCAGGCGGGGGGAAGATATAACCCCAACTTTTGGTCGTTTGTTCAATGACACGGCGAGTGAGAGCCGTGACCTGTGAACTTTGAGTGTGCGGCCGCCGTCCCACTCTTTATTTTGGCTTCACCAAGACCTGTTCCCTTGTTGATGCGGACATTTTGGGACCAGTGACCACATGCTCACCTCCCCTCCTGACTCTCCAGCCCTTCAGTAAAGGCAGCAGGAGTCGCAAGGTCTAGCTTCACCCACTGTAACCGAAGACTGCCAGTGTGGGTCTTGGCTGGGTCTGGCCTGGTTGGACCGGGTCTGGCCTGGCCGGACCGGGTCTGGCCTGGTCGGGTATGGCACCTTTGCACGTTCTGTGGTATATCTTGTACACAAAGGAGACGGGGTTCGGGTGGTCGGCGAGGTGTCAGCACTTCCCCCAGCACCGGGTCCCGACGTCTTGGCTTCACCACCAAGTAGAAAATATTGACACAGTTCTAGCAAGTGAAATCCAACTATCAACACGAGCCCATGGGGAGGGGGTTACTATGCATTGATAGATTGTTGCCGCCCGGTGGCGGCTAAAAAAAAAATGAGCGGTAGCGTATGAGCGTATTTCATATTAAATACACGGTGGGGTGTGAAATTCATTTATTAAATTTAAATTTTGCCTCGAGGGGCGAGTTTATTGGGCAGCGTCACTCATCCTGTGAGTGGACACACCGCCATAGTGACAGTATTGGGCAGCGCCACTCATCCTGTGAGTGGACACAACCGCCATAGTGACAGTATTGGGCAGCGCCACTCATCCTGTGAGTGGACACACCGCCATAGTGACAGTATTGGGCAGCGCCACTCATCCTGTGAGTGGACACACCGCCATAGTGACAGTATTGGGCAGCGCCACTCATCCTGTGAGTGGACACACCGCCATAGTGACAGTATTGGGCAGCGCCACTCATCCTGTGAGTGGACACACCGCCATAGTGACAGTATTGGGCAGCGCCACTCATCCTGTGAGTGGACACACCGCCATAGTGACAGTATTGGGCAGCGCCACTCATCCTGTGAGTGGACACACCGCCATAGTGACAGTATTGGGCAGCGCCACTCATCTTGTGAGTGGACACACCGCCATAGTGACAGTATTGGGCAGCGCCACTCATCCTGTGAGTGGACACACTGCCATAGTGACAGTATTGGGCAGCGCCACTCATCCTGTGAGTGGACACACTGCCATAGTGACAGTATTGGGCAGCGCCACTCATCCTGTGAGTGGACACACCGCCATAGTGACAGTATTGGGCAGCGCCACTCATCCTGTGAGTGGACACACCGCCATAGTGACAGTATTGGGCAGCGCCACTCATCCTGTGAGTGGACACACTGCCATAGTGACAGTATTGGGCAGCGCCACTCATCCTGTGAGTGGACACACCGCCATAGTGACAGTATTGGGCAGCGCCACTCATCCTGTGAGTGGACACACCGCCATAGTGACAGTATTGGGCAGCGCCACTCATCCTGTGAGTGGACACACCGCCATAGTGACAGTATTGGGCAGCGCCACTCATCCTGTGAGTGGACACACCGCCATAGTGACAGTATTGGGCAGCGCCACTCATCCTGTGAGTGGACACACCGCCATAGTGACAGTATTGGGCAGCGCCACTCATCCTGTGAGTGGACACACCGCCATAGTGACAGTATTGGGCAGCGCCACTCATCCTGTGAGTGGACACACCGCCATAGCAGCATGTACAACACTCCCCAACAGGAAGAAAACCCGCTGGGTTGTTCATCCTGTCACTTGTACCCAGACACAGCTGGGACTTGCTTAACTGTCTCAAGTGAACAGCTCCTCAAACAAGAAGATTAACATCTGTCAACCCTAAAAAGCTTACGTTATCTTGCGGGTGCAAGATAGAGAGACAGA